CAAGTTGCCAAGGTTGAGAAACACTGATCTAGTATAACGTTAAATTATAGAGTCCTAGAATTGAAAGTGGTCCTTGAGGACCTCAAGTCTTCTTGCTCAGCACAGGAATGCAAATTAAAGCCTCCCATCGAATGGCTGTCCAGCCTCCGTTTGGATGCCTGCCGTCTTGCATTTGAACTGGATTCTCTCAACTCCCAGCCTTAACCACCACGCTACGTTTGCTGTCCGGATCAACATTTGAAGTGCTGGGCTCCTCCTTAGTTACAAACTTCATTCCATTTCTGAGCTTTTGGAAGAAGAGGAAGGAGTTCTGCACCCCCTTTATCAAAGCAGATGCAGCAGTGCACACTCCTTTCCTTAATTCTGCTTTTGCAGAGAGCCGATGCTGCATAGGGGTTAAGTGCCAAACTGGCACTGGGGAGACTTGGTTCAAATCCTCCCCCTTAGCCACAGAAGCTCCCTGGAGGACTTTGGCCCAGGTGCTCTCTCTGCGCCCAACCTATCGCGTGGGGAAAATGGGAGGGGGGAGCCATTTGTGTGCCAGCTTCAACTGAAGGAAAGATGAGATTCTAACAAGGAAGGAAGGGAGGGGAGGGGAGGGGGATTGTGGCAGGGCTACTGGTGGGAAAGGGCATTCTGCAGTAAATGCTTACCTGAGTTGCAAAATCTGGGCCCACTGAAGTTTTCCAAAATCACTATAAGGGTTTGAGATTCAGGAACTCTTATCAGGCCGTTGGGTTGGAGCAAAACACCAAAAAAAGGTAATGTCCCCCTCTAGTCCAGCTCAACTCCCAGCAGCCCCCTGGACACACCGCTGCAATGTTCGATTGCCATTCCTCTTGTCAGAACCCTCCCGACAGGAGGCAAGAATCACACAGACGTCAGGGAGGTGCTTTAATGCAAGACTTAAGGGAAGGTGCCGAACCTTGGAAACTGCGGTGGGAACCTCCAGCCCTCTTTTATCAGTGAATTCGTTAAGGCTGAGTCTCTTTCAAAGATTTGAATCTCTACTTCCTGGGCTCTCTGGAGTAGGCTGCAGTTTCCTAGATATTTTATTTTATTTTTTATTTATTATTAAATTTGTAGGCCACCCGTCTCCCCCAACGGGTGACTTTGGGTGGCTCACAATTAAAAAATCAAAAGCCCAGAAACAATTAAAATACCCCATAAACAATTAAATTACTCAATCCCCAAAAATCCACTATAAAAACAAACCCTAAGATAAGCCACTAACAAACTTCTCTTCCATCTGCAGATTATTCGTGTCTAACGTTCCTTCCATTTCTTTCTCCGCCTCTTCACCATCTCCCATAGCTTCCTCCTGGGATGTTTTTTTGACTTATTCACTTATCGGAGATTCTCCTGTCCAAGAACTAACCAGGCTTAACTGTGCTCAGCATGGTTGCATAGACAAGGTCCCCCAGATGGGGGTGGATAAATGTCCTGGAACGATTCCTGTATCTGGTTGGATTGAGAAGAGCCTTTACACATACATTGGGGTGGATGCATAAATGTAAAGATTTTCTTTTTATTGTTTAGCGTAAGGCACCCTGAGTGGTTTTGGGGTTGGGTGGGCTCCAAATCTCATAAATAAATAAATGGATCGTAAGGCACAGAGTGGTGATGCTCTGCAGATCTCTCCACCGTTTGCTGAGAATTTGAAACAAGCAAACATTTTGCCTCGTCGTTTTGTTTGTTTCGCAATACAAATTTTGGCTATTAAAGTCATGGCGTTATGCCTTTACGATTAAAGTGGCTGAGTGGCAGGTTGATTTATTGAATCATTACTGATATGGGAAGAATGGTTAAGTATCTATTTTCAATATTGTCCTGAAAACACCTTCAAAAGTCAGAAGGAATACTGGGGAAAATAAAATATTGGGCACCAAGAACACATTTCTGAATGAATGAACCGAAAGGTAGCCATAGATACTGGCGCTGCTGCCCCATTCAAAGAGCTTCAGCTGGCAATTTTCAAAGCGTTTTACTGTGTTGTTTTTTGGAGAGATCCACTAGCAAGTATAAAAATAGTCCCTTGAAAACAGCTTCCGTAATGTTTTGATTGATTGACGTTGTGAATTCAACTCCTCTTCACTTTAGATTTAAATTCACTTTAGGAGTGGAAGTGAATTTGGGGCACGGCTCTCAAGAATGAAGATGGTCTTTTAACTCTTTATGAACATTGCTAGGGCTTTTCTTACCATCCTTTTAAAACTTTTTACACTCTTTCCCCTTCCAGATGTTTCCAAGAGATTTCAGAAATGGGCTCTTGCCTCAGACCAGTTTGAATCCTCCTCAGCCAACAGGCAGCCATACTGGAGGAGTCTGTTCCATCCAATTGCTTGTTCAGGTCGCCCGGTTTTCATACTGCTTCGAAGAGCAATTAGTGGCCTTGCCCAGGTTTTATTGACATCTGTCACTAAATACAGTTGCTCTTCGTCCCAGGTTTCTCGCTCTCTAAGTTTGCAAATGATTCCTGGTGATTTTTATGGTGTATGGGTAGCCTTTTTAGTGTTTGAAAGGGGAATTGTCCTTCAAATCAGGCTAACCCCTTGTGATCATGTGGACACAACTGTGTAGCTTTCTTAGCAACTGTCTGGAAGTAGCTTGTATTGTTACCTTCTAGTTTTTTTTTCCAACTTCCTAACTGATCTTACAACTCTGAACTTCCCTGGTAGTCTCTCATCCAGGGAGTGCCAGCTCTCACCCTGCTTAGTTTTCTTTATAGCTCAACCAGGGTGCCCACGTTCAGCCTTGAGGAACGCCTATGGCATCTCCTGCCTCTGCCTGTGTGGACCCCATTGGATCTCTTGAGGAGACCCTGCTCTCCTGTGTGTGCTGCTGTTTTCTCTCCCTTTGGCGTAATGGGTGGGAGCGTTCTGAAATAGGAAGAGGCAGCCCCATGGGGGAGGCCCTCTGGGGATGTCACTTCCTTTATTTCCAGCCTCTTTGGATGAAAACTTCCCAGCTCTTGCTGCCTCCTCTCTGAAGCCCCTTACACGAGTGTTAGGATTTGCCCCTCCCCTCCGTCTGGATAAATTCTAGATTTCCAACATTGGTTGGAAAGCAGCTTTGCGGCCCAACTTGGTATGTTCCTTCAGCTGCTGCTTGGTCCAAAAATGTTTCACAACAGCTTGGCTGGCTGGGGAATTCTGGGAGTTGAAGTCCACACATCTTCAGGCTGCCAAGGTTGAGAAACACTGCTGTAGTGACACATGAACATGCTGGGTTGTTTTATACAAGAACCTGGACTGTTCTTCACTGACAAAGTGGCACCAATTCCTTGGCTATTCATTCTTCCGCTTCAGCATCCCCTTTTATTTCATTGTATTCAACCCCCGTGAGTAAAATAACCAGGTTCACAGCTGATTTACAAATCCTGGTTTGTCAGAAGCAATTAGACATAATCTCTAATATAGTTATTATTAGTTTAGTTCCTTCTGTAAAGATAGGAAGAATGGGGTGGGGGTGGGGGATGCAGACAAGCATAATGGCAGATTAAGCCATAATTGTTGGCTTCCCATGCCATCCTAGAGTGGCCACGGAGAGTTGGTGATGTCCTTCTGCAGACTTTTCCCCTTTCCAATCTGGCGTTTCTGAGTTGTTAGCGCTCCCTCGTGGCAGCTCTCTTAAATTACTCGTGTCAAAGGATGTAAAGCAAAAAAGGAAGCTATTTTTAAAACCATG